TGGTGGTTAGCGCGCTGCGCTACGAACCCAGCAACCCGTGTTCGATTCCCGCTCACGGCCAACACCACCAACAACACCACCAGTGACGATTAATGATCGGAACCGGTCCACTTAGCCTCAAACAAATACTTGGTGCCACGTGGAAACATCGCCACGAGGGAGACAAAGGCGGCCGGGCGAGGTGTTGGCCACCCAGCAACCCCCCCCCCCCGCCCCCTCTCATGTCCGTGCCGGCCTTCATGGGTATGCTACTCGCTGACAGCACTTGCCCCAACAGTCTGTTAAAGCCATCCTGGGCGCGGGGGATCTTTGTCTGTTTCAGATGGGGAGCGGTGAGGCGGTGGTCACTGCACTTGGTCGATCGTCCCGGGAAATGTTCGGGGCATGAGACGGTGGCAGGGAGTAGAAACAAACAGACAACGAGGCGAGCGGAAGTGGGGATCGGGACAAGAGAGGGTACGGGGAGGATGGAGGGATTTAGAGATCGAGCGGAGTGGGGGGGAGGGGAGTTCAAGTCTGGAGAGAGGAAGAGATGGAGATATGATGAGGGGGGAGGTGGGGGGGGATAGAACGATGGGTTGATTTGATTGATAGGTGGCGAGCAAGAGAGGGGTAAGGAGAGCAGAGCGATACATCTTTTGTTAAATCTTTAATTTAAAAGGGAGGGGGGTTGCATAAAGCAAAGCATAAAAAAATTACAAAAAAACGAAATGATGAACGAAGCAAAGTGCCGACTACACCGAGCATCTTCATGTTTCCTCTGATCGTAAAAAAGAAGAGAGAGGGAGGGAGTGAGAGAGCGAGTTAGGGTTGAGATCATGGGGGGGGGAGGGAGAGGAGGCGAGTGGAGAGGGCACTGGAGGGAGGGGAGGCTGTGTGTAGAATGTGAGAGAAGGAGAAAGATAATGAATGAGAGGGATAAAGGAAACACGCAGATGATCTTGGTTAGACACGGGCTTGACCCCACGTTACACTCGGGGGTGACGGCACCCGCTGTGACACGTGACCCGCAAGCCATGGGGCAGCACCTGCTGTGATCATGGGAGATTGATGCATCAGCATCATAATCGTCATCAGCGTCATCATCGATATGATCAGCAGCATGCAGGACTGTGACGATCAGCAGCAGAAGTAACACGTTCCTATTCACCACTATCAGCGGCATCAGCACGGTCGTCATAATTAATACTCATCAGCAGCAGCAACCGGATCAGGATTACTACAACAGGATCATCAAAATCAGCAGCACCAGGATCATCATCATCATCATCACTACCACCATCATTATAATTAGCAGGAGAATCAACATCATCATCATCATCATCCCCACCACCATCATTATCGATCAGCAGCAGTAACAGCATCAACACCAGAAAGACACCACCACCAGCACCACCACCACCACCAACATCATCACAGACACCAACACCCATAAACCGGAAACACCATCCGCCCGTCCGTCTCACCTCATCATCGTCGGGATGTGGATTTTCTCCCGCTGCTGTGAAGAAAGGGTCAATTGCCCGAAACGTCGCCTATTAAATATCCTTCCCTCCTCCCTGCAGCGTTATTGACGAACGTGTTGAGGGTGGCGCTGAGGCGTTGATGCGGCCCCCTCTACCCCCTCCCCCCACCCCGCCCCCCCTCTCCACCCCCCCCACACCCCCCACACCCCCCACCCCACACCCCCCCCCCACACCCCCCACACCCCCACCCCACACCCCCACGGCGCTAAAAGCCTCGCAGATGGAGGGAGCGCGCTGCCCTTTGACCCCGGACAAGTCTCCATCAATAAGTGATGAGCGCCGCGGTGAGAGTGAGAGGGGGTGGGAGAGAGGAGAGAGGGGGGGGGGAGCAGAGAGGGAGGGAGGGGAGGGAGTCTAATTAATCGCGCTCTTCATTAGAGCGTGCGGCGATCAGCGCCGTTCCTGCTGCACTCTCCTCTCTCCCTCGCTCTCTCGTCTCTCCACGTTTCTCCACGTCTCTCCCCTCTCCCTCGCTCTCTCGTCTCTCCACGTCTCTCCACGTCTCTCCTCTCTCTCCACGTCTCTCCACGTCTCTCCACGTCTCTCCCCTCTCCCTCGCTCTCTCGTCTCTCCACGTCTCTCCACGTCTCTCCTCTCTCTCTCTTTAGGATCAGAGGAAACAAGAAGATGCTCGGTGTAGTCGGCACTTTGCTTCGTTCATCATTTCTCTCTCTCTCTCTAACGCTCTCTGTCTCTGTGAGTGTGTAAGTCTCTGTGTGTGATCTGTCTCCCTGACTCTGTCTCTGTCTCCCTGACTCTGTCTCTCTCTCTTAATCCTTCTCCCCTCTCCCTGCCTCTCTCCAGAACCCTTCATCTCCGTCTCTCTATATATATTCCCTTTCTCTCTTCCTCTCGCATTGAGTCTCTCCATAGCCCACATATCGCCATTTCTCTAACGTGTTCCTCCGAATCTCCACAATCACAATCTTCCTCCCTGGGGAATCGCCTCTCCTCGACCCTCTCTCTCTCTCGCACCATCTAACTCTGTATCCCCTCCCTCCCCCTCTCTCTCTCCCACTACACTCCCACTCTGTACTACATATCCTTTGCACTCCTATCGTGTGTGTTTGTGTATATATTTGTATTATTACTCTTTGGTTCTTTTGGGTAAAGTCACGGGGGGGGGGGGGGGGGGGGGTAGAAATACAATAAAACAAATCACGACGTTTCGATCGCAACACAAGCAATCTTCATCAGGTGGACCAACCACAGCTGAAGCATTTTCTTGCTGTGGTTGCATTTCCACGTGACGAGAAGCCCACCTCGCTGAGGCTCTCACTCGCGATAGCCGGGTCCTTTCTGACAAAAAAGAGCGACATCGCTCAATGGGGCCTTACCTGGTCAAATACATATATAAAAAAAAACATGAATTATTTTACGCGAGAATTGAGAAAGTCAGCTGCTGAGAATGGCCTTCACTGATGAGGATTGTCAAAGCGTCACCACGCGTTCTACACTCACCTCGTTGTTCCTCGAATCTCACGGTTGTACAGATTTATTGGAGAACGATTGCTTGTGTCACAGACAGGCGCCTTGGTTTAAGACGAGACGGCTTTACGGAAATAAAGTTTGATTTGATATTGAATTCTCAATCCCATCTCTCTCTCTCACTCAGTCTCTCGTCAGCTTACACTCTCCATCTCTCTCTCTCACTCTCTCTCACTCTCTCTCACTCTCTCGTCAGCTTACACTCTACATCTCTCTCTCACTCACTCACTCTCTCGTCAACTTACACTCTCTATCTCTCTCTCACTCACTCTCAATGTCAGCTTACACTCTCCATCTCTCTCTCACTCTCAAAGTCAGCTTACACTCTACATCTCTCTCACTCTCAAAGTCAGCTTACACTCTCCATCACTCTCTCACTCTCAAAGTCAGCTTACACTCTACATCTCTCTCACTCTCAATGTCAGCTTACACTCTCCATCTCTCTCTCTCTCACTCTCAAAGTCAGCTTACACTCTCCATCACTCTCTCTCTCACTCTCTCTCTCTCAAAGTCAGCTTACACTCTACATCTCTCGCTCTCTCACTCACTCTCAAAGTCAGCTTACACTCTCCACCTCTCTCTCACTGACTCTCTCGTCAACTTACACTCTACATCTCTCTCTCTCTCTCACTCTCTCGTCAACTTACACTCTCCATCTCTCACTCACTCTCAATGTCAACTTACACTCTCCATCTCTCTCTCTCTCTCACTCTCTCGTCAACTTACACTCTCCATCTCTCTCTCTCTCTCACTCTCTCGTCAACTTACACTCTCCATCTCTCTCTCTCTCTCACTCTCTCGTCAACTTACACTCTCCATCTCTCTCTCTCTCTCACTCTCTCGTCAACTTACACTCTCCATCTCTCACTCACTCTCAATGTCAACTTACACTCTCCATCTCTCTCTCTCTCTCACTCTCTCGTCAACTTACACTCTCCATCTCTCTCTCTCTCTCACTCTCTCGTCAACTTACACTCTCCATCTCTCTCTCTCACTCACTCTCTCGTCAACTTACACTCTCCATCTCTCTCTCTCACTCACTCTCTCGTCAACTTACACTCTCCATCTCTCTCTCACTCTCACTCTCTCGTCAACTTACACTCTCCATCTCTCTCTCTCTCTCACTCTCTCGTCAACTTACACTCTCCATCTCTCTCTCTCACTCACTCTCTCGTCAACTTACACTCTCCATCTCTCTCTCACTCACTCTCTCGTCAACTTACACTCTCCATCCCTCTCACTCACTCTCAATGTCAGCTTACACTCTACATCTCTCTCTCTCTATCGCTCCTCGCTCTCACCCCCCGACCCCCCCCATATATCTCCCCCTATCGCTCTCCAGCCTCTCTTTCTACATCTCCCTTTCCCATGCTGCCCCCCACACACCACCTTCCACCCACCACACAACCCCCCCCTACTTGGCGTGTGTTGCCATCAGCAGCGCCTCGCTCGCCGCGCTCACTCCGGCGACGCGCCCAGCGCCGGCTCGGGTGGCAGCGGGAGAGGGAAGAGCCAGCAGGATGGTCATGGTGGTGATGGTGGTGGTGATGATGTTGGTGATGGTGGTGGTGATGGTGGTGATGATGGTGGTGATGGTGGTGATGGTGATGATGTTGGTGATGGTGGTGGTGATGGTGGTGGTGATGATGTTGGTGATGATGGTGGTGATGGTGGTGATGGTGGTGATGGTGGTGGTGATGATGTTGGTGATGGTGGTGGTGATGGTGGTGATGGTGGTGGTGATGGTGGTGATGGTGATGATGTTGGTGATGGTGGTGGTGATGGTGGTGATGGTGATGATGTTGGTGATGGTGGTGGTGATGGTGGTGGTGATGGTGGTGATGGTGGTGATGGTGATGATGTTGGTGATGGTGGTGGTGATGGTGGTGATGGTGGTGAGTGTGGTGATGGTAGTGGTGATGATGGTGGTGATGGTGGTGATGGTGGTGGTGATGGTGGTGATGATGGTGAGTGTGGTGATGGTGATGGTGGTGATGGTGGTGATGGTGGTGATGGTGGTGGTGATGGTGGTGGTGGTGGTGATGGTGGTGGTGATGGTGGTGATGGTGGTGGTGATGGTGGTGATGGTGGTGATGGTGATGATGTTGGTGATGGTGGTGGTGATGGTGGTGATGATGGTGAGTGTGGTGATGGTGATGGTGGTGGTGATGATGGTGATGGTGATGCTGGTGGTGATTTTGGTGATGGTGGTGATGGTGGTGATGGTGGTGGTGATGGTGGTGATGGTGGTGGTGATGGTGGTGATGGTGATGATGTTGGTGATGGTGGTGGTGATGGTGGTGATGATGGTGAGTGTGGTGATGGTGATGGTGGTGATGATGGTGATGGTGGTGGTGATGGTGGTGATGGTGGTGGTGGTGATGGTGGTGATGGTGATGGTGGTGATGGTGGTGATGGTGGTGGTGATGGTGGTGACAGTGATGATGTTGGTGGTGATGGTGGTGATGGTGGTGATGGTGGTGGTGATGGTGGTGGTGATGGTGGTGATGGTGGTGGTGGTGATGGTGGTGATGGTGGTGGTGATGGTGGTGATGGTGATGGTGGTGATGGTGGTGGCGGTGATGGTGATGGTGGTGATGATGGTGGTGATGGTGGTGGTGGTGATGGTGATGATGGTGGTGGTGGTGATGGTGGTGGTGATGGTGGTGGTGATGGTGAGTGTGGTGAGTGTGGTGGTGATGGTGGTGGTGGTGATGGTGGTGATGGTGGTGATGGTGGTGGTGATGGTGGTGATGGTGGTGATGATGGTAGTGATGGTGGTGGTGATGGTGGTGGTGATGGTGGTGGTGATGGTGGTGGTGGTGATGGTGGTGATGATGGTGGTGATGGTGGTGATGGTGGTGGTGATGGTGGTGATGATGGTGAGTGTGGTGAGTGTGGTGGTGGTGGTGGTGGTGGTGATGATGGTGGTGATGGTGATGATGGTGGTGATGGTGGTGATGGTGGTGGTGATGGTGGTGATGGTGGTGGTGATGGTGGTTGTGGTGGTGGTGATGGTGGTGATGGTGGTGGTGATGGTGGTGATGATGGTGGTGATGGTGGTGGTGATGGTGGTGATGGTGGTGGTGGTGATGGAGGTGGTGATGGTGGTGATGGTGGTGGTGATGGTGAGTGTGGTGATGGTTGTGGTGATGGTGAGTGTGGTGATGGTGGTGGTGATGGTGGTGATGGTGGTGGTGATGGTGGTGGTGATGGTGGTGATGGTGGTGGTGATGGTGGTGGTGATGGTGGTGATGGTGGTGATGATGGTGGTGATGGTGAGTGTGGTGATAGTGGTGGTGATGGTGGTGATGGTGGTGGTGGTGGTGATGGTGGTGATGGTGGTGGTGGTAGTGATGGTGGTGGTGGTGATGGTGGTGATGGTGAGTGTGGTGATGGTGGTGGTGGTGGTGATGGTGGTGATGGTGGTGATGGTGGTGGTGATAGTGGTGGTGATGGTGGTGGTGATGATGAGTGTGGTGATGGTGGTGATTGTGATAGTGATGGTGGTGGTGATGGTGGTGGTGATGGTGGTGGTGATGGTGGTGGTGGTGATGGTGGTGGTGATGGTGAGTGTGGTGATGGTGGTGGTGATGGTGGTGGTGGTGATGGTGGTGGTGATGGTGAGTGTGGTGATGGTGGTGGTGAATGTGGTGGTGATGGTGGTGGTGATGGTGAGTGTGGTGATGGTGGTGGTGATTGTGGTGATGGTGGTGGTGATGGTGGTGGTGATGGTGGTGGTGATGGTGATGGTGGTGATTGTGGTGGTGATGATGGTGGTGGTGATGGTGATTGTGGTGGTGGTAATGGTGAGTGTGGTGATGGTGGTGGTGATGGTGAGTGTGGTGATGGTGTTGGTGATGGTGGTGGTGTTGATGGTGATAGTGGTCGTGGTGGTGATGCTGGTGGTGGTGATGGTGGTGGTGGTGATGATGGTGGTGATGGTGATGGCGAGTCTCAATTTCGTTTGCTCCTTTGTTGCATAAAGTGCGAGGGAAGTCGCTCTGGGTGAGGGGGGGGGGATAGGGGGGTGGCGGCATGGACGGGGGGGGGGGTAAGAGGTGGGGGATAGAGGGGAGGATAGGGGGGTGGGGGCTACTCGTGCTGATGGGAATAGGAGGCGTGAGTCCGTGTCTCTATTACCGAGCTGAGTAGGGGGGTGGGGGAGTGTGCGCGCGCGTGTGGGGGGAGCGGTGGCGCAGTGGTTAGCGCGCTGCGCTTCGAACACGGCGAACCGCGCGATCGATTCCCACTCACGGCCACCACCAGTGACGATTATCTGAACCTGTCCTGGGCCTCCCCTAGGCCGACTCAGCCTCAAATGAGCACTAGGTTTTGTGCGTAAACGTCAGGATCGGGGAGAAGTCGGCGGCCCGTTATACGGGGCTATGTATATCCAGTACACGTGTTCAGCACTTGATTATATGCACGTGTTCAGCACTTGTTTAAGCAATCTGCTCGTATACGGCTGCCCGTTTTCTCTCTCTCTCTCTCTGTTGAGTCGGTGGATGGTAGATTGAGTGAGTGAATCGGCGAGCGGGGTGGAGAGAGAGAGAGAGAGAAAGAGAGAAGGAGAGTGAGAGCGTGGGCACGGGGTTCTTTGCCGTTGCAGTGGCGAACTGGGTGAATGAACGGAGAGAGTGAAGGAGAGAGTGAAGGAGAGAGTGAAGGAGAGAGTGAAGGAGAGAGTGAAGGAGTGTGCAGTGGTGGGGAGTGGTGCTGTTCGTCACCCACTTATTTCGTGCGCCGTGCCGGCCCTTCGGAAGGTGCTGCTGCTCCCTAACAGAACTTGACCCCCGACATTGTGTCAAGGCTATCCGGAGGGATCTTTGTCTTTGTGTATTAATGGTGAACTGGTGGGGAAGCGTGGAGTGGGGGCGAGAGCCGCGGGGTTGCCTGTGGGATAGTCGTGGGGGTTGGGTTGCGTGGGGGCCAGTCGTGGCTCTATTGGAGCAGCGTTCAACTCTTGACAGTGGGGGAGGGAAATCACGGGGGTAGCCAGCGATAGAATTGTGGGGGGTGGTGGTGGTGGTGGGTGGGTGGAGCGAGGGTGTGGTGGGGAGGGAGTGGTGGTGGTGGTGGTGGTGGGGGGTGGTTCCGCTGCTGGGAGGCTGATCCCCGTGGAAATGAGATTTCCGACGGAGAGAAAGGGCCGGGTTAAGGACCCGGGTCACGAGGCAGCTTGACGCCGTGGGGGTTACAACAATCGCGGCCCACGCGGGGCCTTGGTTAATGACCCCGCGGCTCGGGAGCGCGGCCGAAGCCGCGGTGGCTGCTGCCGCTGCTGCCCCGTGAAGGCGCCGTTCAGTGCCACCAACTCTGCGTGCGTGGTGTGTTGTGTGTGTGTCACTGTGTGTGTTGTGTGTGTGTCACTGTGTGTGTTGTGTGTGTGTCACTGTGTGTGTCACTGTGTGTGTCACTGTGTGTGTTGTGTGTGTCACTGTGTGTGTGTCACTGTGTGTGTTGTGTGTGTCACTGTGTGTGTTGTGTGTGTGTCACTGTGTGTGTTGTGTGTGTGTGTGTGTCACTGTGTGTGTTGTGTGTGTGTCACTGTGTGTGTTGTGTGTGTCACTGTGTGTGTTGTGTGTGTGTCACTGTGTGTGTTGAGTACTGTGTGTTGTGTCACTGTGTGTGTGTCACTGTGTGTGTGTGTCACTGTGTGTGTGTCACTGTGTGTGTTGTGTGTGTGTCACTGTGTGTGTTATGTGTATGTCACTGTGTGTGTGTCACTGTGTGTGTTGTGTGTGTGTCACTGTGTGTTGTGTGTGTCACTGTGTGTGTTGTGTGTGTGTCACTGTGTGTGTTGTGTGTGTGTCACTGTGTGTGTTGTGTGTGTGTCACTGTGTGTGTTGAGTACTGTGTGTTGTGTCACTGTGTGTGTGTCACTGTGTGTGTGTGTCACTGTGTGTGTGTCACTGTGTGTGTTGTGTGTGTGTCACTGTGTGTGTTATGTGTATGTCACTGTGTGTGTGTCACTGTGTGTGTTGTGTGTGTGTCACTGTGTGTTGTGTGTGTCACTGTGTGTGTCACTGTGTGTGTTGTGTGTGTCACTGTGTGTGTTGTGTGTGTCACTGTGTGTTGTGTGTGTCACTGTGTGTTGTGTGTTGTGTGTGTCACTGTGTGTGTTGTGTGTGTGTCACTGTGTGTGTGTCACTGTGTGTGTTGTGTGTGTCACTGTGAGTGTTGTGTGTGTCACTGTGTGTGTGTCACTGTGTGTTGTGTGTTGTGTGTGTCACTGTGTGTGTTGTGTGTGTGTCACTGTGTGTGTTGTGTGTGTGTCACTGTGTGTGTCACTGTGTGTGTGTGTGTGTCACTGTGTGTTGTGTGTCACTGTGTTGTGTGTGTTGTGTGTGTCACTGTGTGTTGTGTCACTGTGTGTGTTGTGTGTGTGTCACTGTGTGTGTTGTGTGTGTGTCACTGTGTGTGTTGTGTGTGTGTCACTGTGTGTGTTGTGTGTGTGTCACTGTGTGTGTTGTGTGTGTGTCACTGTGTGTGTTGTGTGTGTGTCACTGTGTGTGTTGTGTGTGTGTCACTGTGTGTGTTGTGTGTGTGTCACTGTGTGTGTTGTGTGTGTCACTGTGTGTGTGTCACTGTGTGTGTTGTGTGTGTGTCACTGTGTGTGTCACTGTGTGTGTGTGTGTCACTGTGTGTGTTGTGTGTCACTGTGTGTGTGTCACTGTGTGTTGTGTGTGTGTCACTGTGTGTGTCACTGTGTGTGTTGTGTGTGTGTCACTGTGTGTTGTGTGTGTCACTGTGTGTGTTGTGTGTGTCACTGTGTGTTGTGTGTGTCACTGTGTGTGTTGTGTGTGTCACTGTGTGTTGTGTCACTGTGTGTGTGTCACTGTGTGTGTTGTGTGTGTCACTGTGTGTTGTGTGTGTCACTGTGTGTGTTGTGTGTGTCACTGTGTGTGTGTCACTGTGTGTGTTGTGTGTGTGTCACTGTGTGTGTGTCACTGTGTGTGTTGTGTGTGTCACTGTGTGTGTTGTGTGTGTGTCACTGTGTGTTGTGTGTGTCACTGTGTGTTGTGTGTGTCACTGTGTGTTGTGTCACTGTGTGTGTTGTGTGTGTCACTGTGTATGTTGTGTGTGTGTCACTGTGTGTTGTGTGTGTGTCACTGTGTGTTGTGTGTGTCACTGTGTATGTTGTGTGTGTCAGTGTGTGTTGTGTGTGTCACTGTGTGTGTGTCACTGTGTGTTGTGTGTGTGTCACTGTGTGTGTGTGTCACTGTGTATGTTGTGTGTGTCAGTGTGTGTTGTGTGTGTCACTGTGTGTGTGTCACTGTGTGTTGTGTGTGTCACTGTGTTGTGTGTCACTGTGTGTGTTGTGTGTGTCACTGTGTGTTGTGTCACTGTGTGTTGTGTGTGTGTCACTGTGTGTTGTGTGTGTGTCACTGTGTGTGTGTCACTGTGTGTGTGTCACTGTATGTGTTGTGTGTGTCACTGTGTGTGTGTCACTGTGTGTGTTGTGTGTGTCACTGTGTTGTGTGTCACTGTGTGTGTGTCACTGTGTGTGTCACTGTGTGTGTTGTGTGTGTCACTGTGTGTGTTGTGTGTGTCACTGTGTGTGTGTCACTGTGTGTGTTGTGTGTGTGTCACTGTGTGTGTTGTGTGTGTCACTGTGTGTGTCACTGTGTGTGTCACTGTGTGTGTGTGTCACTGTGTTGTGTGTGTGTGTCACTGTGTGTGTTGTGTGTGTCACTGTGTGTTGTGTGTGTCACTGTGTGTTGTGTCACTGTGTGTGTGTCACTGTGTGTGTTGTGTGTGTCACTGTGTGTGTGTCACTGTGTGTGTTGTGTGTGTCACTGTGTTGTGTGTCACTGTGTGTGTGTCACTGTGTGTGTCACTGTGTGTGTTGTGTGTGTCACTGTGTGTGTTGTGTGTGTCACTGTGTGTGTGTCACTGTGTGTGTTGTGTGTGTGTCACTGTGTGTGTTGTGTGTGTCACTGTGTGTGTCACTGTGTGTGTCACTGTGTGTGTGTCACTGTGTGTGTAGTGTGTGTGTCACTGTGTGTTGTGTGTGTGTCACTGTGTGTTGTGTGTGTCACTGTGTGTGTTGTGTGTGTCACTGTGTGTGTTGTGTGTGTCACTGTGTGTGTTGTGTGTGTGTCACTGTGTGTGTGTCACTGTGTGTGTTGTGTGTGTCACTGTGTGTGTTGTGTGTGTGTCACTGTGTGTTGTGTGTGTGTCACTGTGTGTGTGTCACTGTGTGTGTGTGTCACTGTGTATGTTGTGTGTGTGTCACTGTGTGTTGTGTGTGTCACTGTGTGTTGTGTGTGTGTCACTGTGTGTGTGTCACTGTATGTGTGTCACTGTGTATGTTGTGTGTGTGTCACTGTGTGTGTTGTGTGTGTCACTGTGTGTGTTGTGTGTGTGTCACTGTGTGTGTGTCACTGTGTGTGTTGTGTGTGTGTCACTGTGTGTTGTGTGTGTGTCACTGTGTGTGTCACTGTGTGTGTTGTGTGTGTCACTGTGTGTGTGTGTCACTGTGTGTTGTGTGTGTCACTGTGTATGTTGTGTGTGTGTCACTGTGTGTGTTGTGTGTGTCACTGTGTGTTGTGTGTGTCACTGTGTGTTGTGTCACTGTGTGTGTGTCACTGTGTGTGTTGTGTGTG